GGCTGTACTCATTCCAAACAGAAACACTCCCCAGAAATACACTTTGTTATTCTGCTAAGCTCCTGTAAAGATAAGGAAGAAAGAGCTTTACGAGGTGTTCATTAAAACATTAATCAGTAAAATGTAATCAGAATTAGTGTTTTCTGGTTTGTGCAGGGAGGGTCTCATCATCGTAGACATACCAAAAATAAACATAGTACTGCCTGATAAATCCAAGGGTTCCATTTTGCATTTGGAGCCATATAACATAGATTCCACCGAAATGAGCAGGACTGTTGGAAGGCTTCAGATCTGAAATATGCTGGAACTGAGGAGAAATTGTCCTAGTGGTATTCATATGCCTTGAAAGCAAACATATTTAAACTGCTGCAGACAGCTCAAAATTCCGATATTATACCTTTTTGTGCGCTTTCTGGGGTGGTTTTGCTACAGAACGTGGCCTGAATGAATACTAATACGATGCGATGATACGGTAAGCGTCAGAGGCCACCTGTAGTCTGCAACAGACACCCAGTCTCACCACCGACCTCCCCTCTGCCTTTTGTTGTTTGACCTATAAAACACTGAATAACTGTTCCTTCTGTTGAAGTTAACAGAACATTGCCTCACTTTTCTCAAGGCTGTTTGCCGAGAGATATTATCAGAAGTCAAAACTGAAGAGTTATATTGTATGCAATCTTTCCACAGCAGTTTCATAATCTGTTTTCCACTCTGGCTAAAGCGTGGTGTAGCACAGGCCTGTCTTGACTGGGAACATCTGCCCCATCACTCTGAAAAGATGCACACAGCAGCTCAGTCTTAGGTAAAGCAGCCTTTGCATAACAAGTTAATCAACTTACAAAGTAGCTGGGAGCTCCCAGAGGAGAGAATGCTCCGCAGAAATACAAGACTCGGAGTTCTTTGTGTTTTGTTATAGTGATGTCAACCTTAGGTTAAACCCGTGGCATTATCTTTAGTGCTGGCTGAGTCGCTCATCGCTACTTGCACAGCTGTTTGCTCTTGGTGTGCTCGGTGGACATTTATTTATCTCGCATTTATTGCGAGAATGGTAAAGATTTTCACCCAGCAAACCAAAGCCCCGTTGCGAAGGGAATTTACCATATGGAGAAGGGTGAGGCTGAATGAAAAGCCCTCTAAAAATTCGCTGTGTTAAAGACATTATCTTCGATTGTGTGATGCTACAATGAATTTCTTGAAACAGCCGTCTTCCAGCCGAGCAGCTCCCCAGTTGTGGTGCTTACACGGCTCATGGTATGCAGACTATGTTGGCGTGATGCAAACCCACCTGCTTCTGTGTTAGGTGTGAAGAGAACTGGGAGCGTCCGTTCCCAGCCCAGGATTACGGCACAGGGCAGGGTTCAAAACCTTGATTTGTCAAGGCAGATGGGAACTGGTAGGAAAAGAGGGCATGTAGGACCAAAATCTCTTTGTGGTAATGGGCAGTGGGGCAGAAAGGTGCGTGAGGATGTGTTAGTTTAGCACGTAAGCAGTTAGGTGCATACTATTGTGGAAGGTGAAGGTCTTGCAGCCAGAACCTACGATAGCAGTGGTATTTGAACCAATGAAATTCAGGATTATCTGTTCTAGCAGATTGGTTCATTTCCTACATGGGAATTTGTGTACGCACACGGTTTTTTTTCCTCAGCAGCTGCTCCGTTTGGTACCACCATACAAATAAATACCTACCCCTCGAGTGCTGTTGAAAATGAGTATTTCATACCCAGTTTCCCAAAAGAGCTATTTTTCTGATTGTGTACCTAATGCGTTCAAATTCTAAGCTTTTGTGTTATTGACTTTAAAAAAAAAAATCAAGATATGGTAGTAGTAAAAGCTGTTAAGATTCTTAGACTAGAACACAATTAGGCTAATGTTTTGGAGCACAGTGCAACACCTGGAGTCTTGTGTGTGGGTTTTTTTCCTCAGTGATAAGAAAATTTTCTGAGAACATTACCAGCTAAGCTGAAAAGAATTCCCTCTACGTAATAAGTAATGGTCACAATCACAGGAGTAATAAATTATCATTTCTAGGTGTCTTTGAACTGATGAGGAACTGCTTTTCATCCTGCATACAGAGCACGTATATTTGAACTTGTATTTTTTTGAGCAGGGGTGGGTGTGGTAGTTCAGACCATTAAGATGGTTTGAAAATAGGGCTTTTTTAACCCCGGGTTAGGAGTCAGGCAGTCTCCTAGCACTGTCCTGGCCCTGGAGGGCGTTGAGGCTCTTTTGTACTCTAGTCGATAGCTTATTATCTGCTTCAGTATTAATATTTCATGGGAGCTAAGATGTTGTGGGGAGAGAGGGGCTGAGGAAACAGTATTCTCCTGAGAAGTGGAAGTGCCTTGCCTTGCCTTCCCTAGCTCCTGGTTCTGAGGTAGATTTATAACTCCATTTGCAGAGTTAACTTTTCTGTCTGCCAAACTCCCACTCTAAGAATTTTGAAATCGAAGTTCTGTCACTTTGACATTCTCTGGCAGTTGCTTTGCTGTACCTCACCGCCTGAAAAACCCCACCCCGTTGCTCTAATAGAACGGTTTGAACAAGGCTCTCAGCTGAAGCAAACTGGTGCTACAGGCAAAGCCTGAGACTACCCCCACATCTTGCCTCTCCTTCACACGAGCTGTAGAGTAACACATGATTTGGATAGAAACCACTGATGTATTTTTGAACTGTTCACTGCAAAGTACACTGGTAGTACTCTCCAGCAGCGTCTGATCTGCTGGATTTAAACAGTATGATGGGAACCTGTTTTCAGCAGAATGCTGCATTTATCATAGGACCACAGAACGGTTTGGGTTGGAAGGGACCTTAAAGATCATCTAGTTCCAACCCCCCTGCCCTGGGCAGGGACACCTTCCACTAGACCAGGTTGCTCAAAGCCTCATCCAGCCTGGCCTTGGACACTTCCAGGGATGGGGCATCCACAGCTTCTCTGGGCAGCCTGTGCCAGTGCCTCACCACCCTCTCCAGGAAGAACTTCCTGATATCCAATCTAAACCTCCCCACATTCAATTTAAACCCTTGACCCCTTGGCCTGTCACTACAGGCCCTTGTAAAAAGTCCCCTCCCAGCTTCCTTGCTGGTCCCCTTCAGGAGCTGGAAGGGGGCCTACAAGCCTACTTCCTCCTTCTCATTCAGAATCACTTCCCACAGCTCCCATATCTTACTCAGAGCTTCATTAAAGGATGTATCTCTAGAGAATTTGGACTGATAATGCTGCACACCATATAAAAACGTTAAGGACTTAATACATCTTGTGGAATTCGCTTCAAAATGCCACCCAGCTACCGTGCAGAAAGATTTGTGGCGTGATGGTAATAGGGTTTTGTAGGCAAACGCACACATTTTGCGCGTTGTTTTTTCCCAAGGGCTTTACTGGAATTAAGATCTGATTTAGTCTGCTTAGAGTGAAAAAAAAAAAATTATATTGTTCAAACTTTGATTCCCTCTGCCACCCGCCACACATACTACTTTTTCCTCTCTAATAGTCTCCTTTGCGATGAACTCCGCTCACAGCCTGCTTAAACCACAAGCGTTTCTCATGGTCATACTGGTTCCTGTTTGTTCTCATCCAGCCCCAAATGTGCTTACAGCAAACTGCAGCTAACTGTTGATTGAAAGACATCTGGATGTATAAACATTACACAACTTTGGGACTGAAAATTAATAATTATAGCCAACCAAAATGAAGAAGAATTTTAGCTACACCTGACATAATTACCACTGCTCGTACTTGCCAAGGAAACAACTAGTATACTTTTTCTGCAGCTTGCTTGCCAAGTTCTCAGTCAACTTTGCTTTCCTTGTGTAGAGACTAGAAAAAGGACCTGGTTTGAAGAGCGCTGAACCAGGAGCGCCGTAGCAAAGCGTGATACTGGCCAGGCCCCGACTGACTGTCCAGCAACAGTCTGCTGAGCATCGGACACTTTCTCAAGCTGTTCCGCCATCTCCCACTCCCTTGTACGTCTATTGATTTATCAGACAGTCCTATGGCGTGCAAAAGGCTCAGTGAAACACAGGAAAAGATTGTCTCCAGGGGCTTGGGCAGAAGTGCTGCCGCGGCTCCTCCGCAGGCCCCTTGGCCGAGCTCTGGGCCGGACGCATCTCCAGCAGCTGCAATACTGAGCAGCTGTTGGATACTGACTTGGAAAAGGGTGCCATCTACTGAATTAGCAGTACAACTTCCCAAAATTCTTACAGGTTCTGCGTGTTTTTCAGCTCTGTGTAGTTCGTGTGGTACCGTCGTAACACAGGACCACGTGGTTACAGTCAAAGCAGTCTAAAATAAAGACTGACAAGTCAGGGTACTGACAAGTAAAATTTAGAAAGGTGACTCTGCCTTCTATCAGAGCCTGTCTATTAATGGATATTGCAAGTGATTCAGGAAGACAATGCTGAATAAACCGAAAGGGGGGATTACTTTGGTTTTCCTTACCTAGAATGGTACAATGCATTCTCGTTTTCCCACAAGGAAAACAAAAAGATGCCATTTGTGACCAGTTTAATATTTAGAATAAGGACCCAAGACATTATTAATTTTTTGTTCCAGTCTCTGATTTTATGCAGGATCCAGATGCTGGTTTTGGAGGGGTTTTTTTGGTGTTTTTTTCTGTTTGTTTGTTTTGGAGTTTTTTTGATCTTGGTTTTGGTTTTGGGTGTTGGTTTTTTTTTTTCACTAGCAAGGATAATCTATTCTTTAAATATAATCTTTGTTTCACTTATTTAATTAAGGTTCATCTTTGCTGGTTCTCTGAATCTTGATGTATTTAAGAAGAAAAGTTTTGACTGTTCTGAAACAACATCAGAAAACACATTTCCCACGGGGGCTGCAGCAGTTCCACGGCGTGACAGGTGTAATAGTGCTGTACTGCCCAGCACGTCTGTGACAGAACACCACTAGACTCGCTGGCCAGAGGACTTGGGCAGCTTTTTGACATGTCTTCATACAAACTGTTGGTTCTGTTATATCTTCAGCGTTTGTATTTCTCTTCTCTTCAGAGATGCCTGACAGTCAAGGGAGAGACAGCGAGAGCCACATCAGCAGCAATAGTTCCTGCACCAGCAATTCAGTTGCTTGCTTTGGACAGGTCAGTTCCTTTTGCCCGAAAGTCAAACAGGAGTTTTATGCTCGCGCTTCTGGAAATCTGCTCTGCACATTTGCTCGTTGTGAAGTTGGACAGCGTAAGGTTGGAGTCATATCCATCACCCTATGCCTAATTGTACATTGCATATTCCTCCATGATAGCCTTGGCATGCCTCGAGTCATAATAAATTGCTCTGGATTCTTCACAAAAGGTTTTTAATTTCGTTCCTTAAAAATGGGGCTCATTTTATTCTCTCTTATTCCCAGATGGTCTGGGTCATGCTTACACACATTCTCAGTACTGGTTCAGAGAAGTCACCTACTTTCACTCGGCTATTAAAAAAGAAATTGAAAAAGAAATTAAAAATAACGTGGAAGAAGGCAAACTGTGTCTGGACTGAACACACACCTTTTGGTGGTGAATTCTCCCTGCCAGGCATTTACACAAAGTTGCTGAATACGGCACAGGCATGTGCACTCTCCCGTTTTTTCCTTCTGTCTTTTGGTTACAGGCTTGCATTCTAGTGCCAGAAAAAGACAGTTACTCCTTTAAGTTTAAACAGAACCACAGATAGGAATTAGAGAGGTTTGGCAGGCATCGGAACTTAGATGGCACACGCTATCGAATTCTGTGTCCTGCCGAACGACGGGGCAGCCAGGACGTGCGTACTCCACGCTTCAGCTTAGGTGGCGAAACCCGTGTTCTGTCCCACAGCACAGGACAGCACAAGCTTTTTAGGGCTCGAATCCTTCAACAGGCATTTAGGCTTCTCTGACCTTTACGGTCTATAAATTGCATTTCTACTAAGGCACCGAGCAAGAGTTACACCACCTTAGGCTTCCAGTGATGCTGGTGTTATCTACTGATACCAGTGATGTTGGAGTTACCCAAAGGACCTCCTCTGCATGAAGGGAGCTTGCTGGACACTCCTCAAGAAATTCCTATTTGGATTGCTTGCCTGAGCTGCTCTCCTCCCTACCCTGCTGGCATAGGGTGGCAGAGTAAGGTTAAACTTTGGGTTCGTGGAGTTCCTAAATACATTTTCTGGTTGGTCACAGAGATACTATGTTTTATTTTTGAGATGTAATACAAGTTTAAATGTGTGTTCCTGGCAACCTTGATGATGACTGCGTTAAGATTTCAATAGGATACTAATAGGCCTGGCTCATCTCAGTTTTTCTAATGTAAGTGATGGTTAGGAGAAATGAAAAAGGATTGCTACAGCTGGATAATTAATGCTTATATATGTATACTCCAAGAGTTAGAGAAAAAAAAAACCACTATAATGCACAAATGTAATGTGCACACACCCCCTGAGGTCTTTCCTTATCTGTTACATCCTGGTTCTGAAAATGGATCATAAAATGGGATAAAGAAGTGATGTTGGGAGAAGAGGAGGAGCTAAAACAGGGAGACTGAACTTTGTCTTACCTTGCTTTTGTCAAGTATCAATACACAGCAAGTGAGTATCAAGCTGTCCAGCATGCTCTTCGTCAGAGACTGGGTCCAGAATATATCAGCAGTCGGCAGGCTGGAGGAGGACAAAAGGTATGAACAAACACGCGCAGATGTTTCAACTCACATCTTTTTCCAGGGAAACTAGGGTAAAAAAAATGACGATAAACATTTTTTTAAGTTAATTTCCCACTAGTAGTTTAATACACAGATATGAAAGCAAAGTTAGCAAAGCATAAATTCTGGCTTTTTCCGAGCCACAGGTTCCTTTTGCACATTTTTAAAAAAAGAGACTTAATTTTTCAGTGCTTCGTCCTGTAGAAGGGAATATTTATATACTTGTGGCACGTGGAGACGTTTTTCTTATTTTTTTCCCCAGAACTGGAATATAAGCAGCAATATATAACGTGGGCTGCACTTTACCCTCTTTAGTGCCTGCTAGCTCTCCCTTCCCTTGGCTAGGTAGCGTGGTGTCACGTTAACCACCCAGCGCAGCTGCTGGGAGAAGGCAAACCCGGAGCCGCACCATCACCCTTTTATTTACGTCAGCCCAACCTGGAACCGCGCCGGGTTTCCTCAGCGCGAGGTGACGCGCCCAGCCCCGCTTTACAAGAGAGCGCGTACCTACGCCTGCGCGTGCAGTTACACGTGTCTGTTTCTGAGTACCTGCTTTTCTTTTCAGGTCTGTTACATTGAGGGTCACAGGGTCATCAGCCTGGCCAACGAGATGTTTGGCTTCAACGGCTGGGCTCATTCCGTCACGCAGCAGAACGTTGGTAAGCGTCTCGCTGGGACGAAGAATTCTGTCTTCTTCTTGCACTGTGAGCCCCCGAGGGAAAAGTCTCTCAGGTGGGGAGCAGGCTGTCTGTCCTAGAACTGGATTACTCCAAAGAAGGTGGGGGGAGGCGTGGGGAATTCCCAGGTGTCCTAGCAGTTGGCAGGAAGGAGGGGAATTGAATAATAGTGGAGCTTCTGTTTTCTTTTAAGATCTTGCACTGGAATACGTCATAGTCATTATTCTAAGCGTGTTGATGATTATTCCCGAGCTCTTCTAATCAAGTTTTCTGTTCCCTATGGGAACACTCAGTCAAGAGCAATTACAGTTAAACTATTTCACACCCAGCAGCCCTGAGCGAACTTTTGTACTCACCTGTAATTTTGATACTCCAACAAGTTAATATCCTCAGTTAATATTCCCCTAATCTTTAGGGACCCATCTTTGTCTACAGATTCTGACCAATACCTGGTTCTGAGATTTTTACAGTAGAAAGCTTTGGGAAAATTCTCTAGAAAACAGTATTCAGGTGGTCTTAAAGCTTAAGCTTCTTCTGCCTCAGTAGCTGACGTAGTACCTGCTGGAGGAGTATTGTCCATGCTTGCTGTGCTTAGGCTGATGACCGGGCGCTGAAGTGGCCCAACAAAGCTGTGTAAACGTACCTCCTTCCTCCCCCCGCCTTCAGAAATCTTCTCTTCCTTCAGGCCGGTAGATTCCAGACGTAAAACAAGTTACGTCACAGGCTTCCATCTATTCCGGACCACTTTTGGGTTTTGCCCTTTTCAGTCGAGAAAGGACTGACATCTTTTCCAAATAATTCCATAGCAAGTCATTCCTTAGCTATTCAGATACAGAGGATTCTGTTACATTTTGGTTTAAATTCCTGGGTGGAGAAAGGGTTTGCACCTCGGACGGGTTGACAAAACAATTGAACAAACTGACCGGTTGGGCACAGACGAACTTCTGGACCCCAGGGTACAGTTGCTTGAATTTCAAAGCGTTTCTTTTCAGGCACGTCTCGTGTTTCTGTCAGACGTGAAAGGCTGCTACCTTGCCAAAATGCTATCTGTGTTACATAGCATTGCTTTTGGTGTAAAATGAGGTAGGCAAGCGATTATTGCAACCTGTTAAGCCCTTCAGGCACTCTGTCCTGGATAAAACCGTGTGCAAAATTTCCCAAACTGGATACTTCTGTTAGATAACAGGAAAGAAACGATGTTTATAGATGACAGAGTTTCTTCCCAAACAGAAGTTGCTGTGTTTATCAGTTGATACTTTAAATCTTTCCTTCCAGCTGAAAAAATTGTTGTGCTTTGAAACTTTAGGATATGCAGCTGAATGAGAAGTAACATTCACAACTCTTCCTTCTTTCCCATGTGTAAGTAAGTTTATACGTGTAGTAGTAGCAAGGTGTGAGTGTCTGGCAGGTCTAGCCACAGGTACCATGCCCAGAGCATATGTGCAAGTCAGCATTCTCAAACTAAGGTTCATATTTTTTAGGTCATGCTGCACTTTATAGAAGATGATAGAGTGTCTTGGGCACATTCAGCAGGTGTATGAATGTCCTTGAAGGACAAAAGAAGATCTAAATGTGGATCACAGGTCTTTTGTGTTATTTAGGATCTTCCTTTTCCCTCCCCCAGATTTTGTTGATCTCAACAATGGCAGATTCTATGTGGGGGTCTGCGCATTTGTGAAAGTTCAGCTTAAGGTAAGTGGATTTTTTTTTTGTTTGCCCTCTCTGTAGTCGAGCAGCTGCCTAAAGCCGTGGACAGAAGCTCAGGTCAGCCTGTGGTTCTCCAGTAGGGTGCTGCACCAGAGAGCCTAGGGGTGTCCAGAACATCGACCTTGCTGTAGAACAAGCGGCTAAGAGCGAGTCGTCAGGCTTGGGAAAGCACAGGCTGTAACATAAAGTGTGTGCAGAAATTCCCTTATACTTAATATTTTCAAAACCTCACTGCAGGATGGGTCGTACCATGAAGACGTGGGGTATGGAGTCAGCGAAGGCCTGAAGTCTAAGGCCTTGTCCCTGGAAAAGGCAAGAAAGGAGGCGGTAACCGATGGGCTGAAGAGGGCACTCAAGTAAGTGAAGATGAGTACTTGGCCTTTTCAGAAGTGAAGTGAGAATTACATGTTATTTTCAGTCACAGTGAGCTCTCCTGTTTCTCAGGTGCTTTGGGAATGCTCTTGGGAACTGCATCCTAGACAAAGACTACCTGCGAGCCGTGAATAAGCTTCCACGTCAGGTGCAGTACACGGGCTGCGGGAGCAGGGTCTGAACGTCCGCTGCTCCTGGTCCTTCATGCTAAAAAGAATGTAAATGATGGTATCAATGCATTTCATCCCCGCACGTTTCCAGCTGCGAGACCAGTAGCCTCTCCCTGCCCACTTCATTGTGTGAAGTGTCTGTGGCAGAGCTCTGCCCCAGTGTTTCACCACAACCACTCAGGTTTTGGACTGTTTGCCGTAGGCAGGGTTACTGCGGCGAAGAAACAGCATCCTACTCGAGATCCCACCAGGCATTTATGGCCGTGTTGTCCGACACCCTGCTCAGTAGCAGCAAGGCGTGCGTCTGTTCGCACCACCTTAAACGTTACCGCAGGAAGCGCCAAACTGCTTAAACCGGCCTGTTCTAGGTGCCCTTTTCTCCACGTGCTGCGGTTCTTGGGACTGTTTAAGGTCTGTCAGCTGCAGCAACTCGGTTCCTGGCTCTCGTTGAGCCCCTTCTGCCTTCAATGCGTGTCAGCAGCGATACCACTGTCAAGTGGTGCATCCATCGCGCCGGGGAAACGGAAGGCAGCAACTCGGTTCCTGGCTCTCGTCGAGCCCCTTCTGCCTTCAATACGTGTCAGCAGCGATACCAGTGTCAAGTGGTACATCCATCGCGCCGGGGAAATGGAAATCTTGGGGAGAACAGTCTCTCAAGGCTGTGCACGGTCTGCATGTTTTTGCCCTGTGTAAAGCAAAAGGCAGAGCAGATCTTAGTCTGTTCTCACTGGCAGCGGTAGCACAGTCCAGTTTACTACTTCAATTGTTAAAAATCAGGCTCGCTTGTCATATTCTTCTCCTCGCTGGAATTTTTCAGGAATAAAAATTTAGGGGAAAAAAAAAAAAAGGATGAGAGAGAACAGCAGAGGGTGACACTATTGCTGGGAGAGAGCAGAACGCCGGAGGCTGTGGGCAGGGCAGAAGAGTAGCCAGACAGTTCACCTGTTAGCTGTGTGACCTGCCCCAAGGCAGGTACAGCTCCTCTGTGCATTCCCGCAAAATTCCGACTCCTGTTGCTTGCCGGCAGCCTGTATGTCAGCCCGTGGGCTGCGGGAAAGGGGGGTGAACTTGGGGCTTTAGAGAGCTCTGGCAGGAAGCAGGAGGAGTAAGAAGCCACGTTACACCTTGCTTTGCTTTCCAGACTCCTCGGCTCCTTAGGTTTCGGTCTGCAGTCGCTTTACCCGCGCGCTAGTCGAAGAGCGAAGCTTCTGAGGTAACGGACACAGAGAAATGCCTCTTGTGGAGGCCTTTGGCCTGGAGAGAGACAAGAAACTGTGACAGACACCTCCATCGGTGACCACCTTACTGTCGCAATCGCTGGGCGTGCCGCGAGGCACCACCGGTATCATGACAGTAGCTGAAGTCGGCCTGGCTGCTGCTGAGGTTGCACCCCCCTGTTACCTCCTGCCATGCTCCACCCGGGGGCAACGGGCTCCTGGGCAGCAGGGGCCTTGCTCCTTGAGGGAAAGCAAACCTCGTCCCCCTGCTGATCCGTGGAGTTCCGCAGGACCGTTGCCCTCGTCACGCTAGGATCTACCCAGCCCCGCTCAGCGGCCTAGGTGGTCCTGCCCAGCTGACGTCGCCGGTAGGAGCAGATCCGAAGCGACACCTCGCCAGGGGAAGGTGGCACCGATGGCTGTGCCAGGGTCGTCGTCCGTGAGCGGCATTGCCACGGGTCTGTACCATCACAGAGCCAACCCATCCCGTCTCTGGTGAGCATGGCCTACCTTCCTCCGTGCCCTCGGGATGGCCGAGCCCTGCCCTTTGACGTGAGCAGGACAACACAACCGGAATACTGACAGGAGGAGCTGCAGAACAGTGCGGCCGCGTCGCCTGTGGCATGGGCTGTCGGCCCTCAAGCGCTGAGCTGTTAGACTGGCGTGGCGTCCCGCGAGTTCCCTCATCAGCCAACTGATTGGCTTGGTCCGGAACACGCGCTTCCCATTTCCTGATTCACGGTTCCGCTTGGAGAAAACGAACTAGACCCACCGGCGGTACCGGGCAGAAAAAGCCCGTCTACGTTTCGTTGAGCTGATGAAGGAAGTTCCCACATGTGTCTTCTTTTTTTTTCCTTTACCAGATCCCTCCGGAGTTCGATTTGGTCAAGGCCAAAAGACAGGACTACGAGCCTGAAATAGAGACGGCGCGGTACAACGGC